CGTAAAGAAATAGAGTAAAGACCGAACAAGTAATAAATAAATAAATATATATATATAAGGTGCACGGAAATCAAAGTTGCAGTGAAATTTTCTTTTTTTGATTTTTATATACCATTCGATAGAGAATTTCAAGGCGGTCAAGAATATGTGTGCCTTGCATTTTCCTAAACCTTTCTTCCAGTCGAAAAATTGAAAAAATTTGGAAGGTGTCGAAAACTAATAATTTGAGAACTTTTGATAGATTCCTTTTCTTTTTAAATATGTTACAAGATAGAATCTTCTAACTTAGTTTTTCTGATTCGTCATAGAAAATTGAATAAGAAACTGGTTTTAAATCATTTTTAGAACAAAGCATTGGCTCACAAAATAATTTCCTAAGACCCATGCTCAAAAACAGGAACCTAATTTTGCAAGTCTATCATAGGTGTTTTAGAAATGTTAGAGCCAATATTTATACATGGTCAGATCGAGTAGATGTGTAGCTTCAAAGTTACGAAGAGATTTCTCAAAAATTCCTTTTCCTCACTGAGAAAAATCAATTTTACTGAGGATACCTCAAAATCGGCCAGGTGATTTTTGATTATTCTTTTCTGTTCTCTCCCAACATAGTCAAAATATACTCAAATAGGTTAAAATTGATCCCCAATCCAACAGACATACTTTCGAGAGGTTTAGAGGTTTAGAGGTTTTCTGGAAACCTTCCAGGCGAGCTTTGAACTTCACTTGAAATTATTGAAAAGATTCTGGAAATGTTTATTGGCTTATAGAGATGGTCAGTCGTATGCGGAAGTAATGAAGATGTTCTTTGGTACTAAATGTGATGGAACAGTTCAAACCCATACACGTATTAGTAACAGTAACTTAAACGTTTAGTTTGTGATTTTAAAATTATGATTTTTTCTTCTTGTTTTCATTTGTGATTTTCATTGTGACTATGTTGGAATAAATATACCAGTAGATACTTTAACGAACAGAAAATATTTTGCTTCCACTTCAGTTGCATCTATGCAGTCCGGAACCCCAATAAACTACTCGCTCTTGGCTCAAAGACCTTCTAGAAACCTTTTTAAAACCTTCCAGAAAACTTCTAAAGATCTCCGAAATATGTCTGTCGGATTGAGGATCAATTTTAACCTATTTGAGTATATTTTGACTATGTTGGGAGAGAACAGAAAAGAATAATCAAAAATCACCTGGCCGATTTTGAGGTATCCTCAGTAAAATTGATTTTTCTCAGTTAGGAAAAGGAATTTTTGAGAAATCTCTTCGTAACTTTGAAGCTACACATCTACTCGATCTAACCATGTAAAAATATTGGCTCTAACATTTCTAAAAACACCTGTGATAGACTTGTAAAATTAGGTTCCGGTTTTTGAGCATGGGGCTTAGGAAATTATTTGTGAGCCAATACTTTGTTCTAAAAATGATTTAAAACCAGTTTCTTATTCAGTTTTCTATGACGAATCGGAAAAACTAAGTTAGAAGATTCCATCTTGTAACATATTTAAAAAGAAAAGGAATCTATCAAAAGTTCTCAAATTATTAGTTTTCGACACCTTCCAAATTTTTTCAATTTTTCGACTGGAAGAAAGGTTTAGGAAAATGCAAGGCACACATATTCTTGACCGCCTTGAAATTCTCTATCGAATAGTGTATAAAAATCAAAAAAAATTTTTTTTACTGCATTTTTGCTTTGTGTGTACCTTATGTATAGTAGAGTTGACGTCTTACATGTATGTTTAAAATCCGCTTTGAATTTTTCGTGTCACAACTATTCGTGACTTAAGTTTGTTTAATAATAAGACCATTTGAATTTTAATATCTGTAGCCATAGACATTTATCAGAAAATAAATGAGATAAAACTTCAATGAACATAATATCATATTATTGAAAAACAACCACATAAATCTCTTGAAATAATAAGAAAATAATCATTTTTTATTACGGCGAACTTTTTGGACATCCTGTATTTCAATGGCACTCGATATATCCATACTTCGAAGTTTAGAAGGAAAGCTACTGCTTGGAGTAATCTTCGGTTCTACATGAAACCTTTAGGTGATATTTCTTTTTCTCGTATGACATTGTAGATCGAAAATCACAATATACAAAGAGTGAATAAAAAGCAGTTTTTTTATAGAACAAGAAGATAGCGAATGTAAATCTTTCGTGAATGTATGCATGTCTATAAAAAATATTCAACTCATGACAAATCATTTTTTCAAAAATAGATCGTACGGTCTCGATGGTTTCGATAAAATGAAGGAATGACAACTCAGAAATTCTGCTGTCGTCAATATGGTTGCTCTTTCAAGCATATCTATTCGACAGCGTGTCATATTTCAAGAGACTCACAACAAACAGGCAATTTATTTGAAAAGTAGGAATATAGTAATTTGACAGTAGGTCTGTTAATATATTTCTTTTTGATGCTTATCTACTTGCAAAATGTCTTTCATCTATTCGATGTACACATCGTGCTTATCTAGTGCAAACAACTAGATATTTAAATACACAGTGACAAAACGAAACACTTGTTCGTCGTTTGCCCTTCCAAAGATTGTTGTGGTGGTGTTGAACAATATGATTTCACTTCTACTCATCTTTCTAGTTATTCCAGGAATTGTAAACGAAAAACTTGAAATTTGTTGAAATTCATCTTTTCTCGTCTTTGTTGATAGTTCGGAGAACAATGTTTAACTGACCAATGGCCTCCAAAGCCGGAGCGGACTGTACCAACGTATGTTGTCAATTTGGATAATCCGCCTATGGAACGTTGGAATCAAGTTGTAACTGCATTCAAGAGTGAAGTAATCTATTTCTATCTGTTTACTTTTTTCTTCTTGTTTGAGAATTACTTGTTATTATTTGTAGATTATCGACATCCTTACTTTCTTCAAAGCCTACATCATCGAGATATCGCCTAATCTAAAATTTCTCTTAATTTCTTGTTGACGATAAGCTAGTAATTCTATACATCATATTGTCTTATCGTACATTATGTTCATTTCATAATAGCCCGCTATGGTCGACACATTGCCAGCACCCTATGACGATGAAATGAAAGGCATTAGTCAAGCAACAGGATTACCCTTAGGTA